GTGGTGGTGGTTAATTTTGATACTACAGTAAGCACTGATTTGGTGATTTACAGGTCAAAAACCGTCTACACGACTAAAGTTAAAACTGGAATATCAACAGCATTTCAAGTATATTTCAACATGCAAATGTGATCTGCTTCATATTTGAATATACTCTTGTAAATGCTTTTTGAAATAGCAGTTTTATATGACCTAGATGTCTTCTCAGTCAAATTTATCCCAGTTTTACTGCCAGTTGTCTTTTGACCAAATAAATGCTTACTGGGACACAGCAAATTCCACCTCAAAGGGTAATTTCTAATAAAAACGGGAGGATTTTTATGAACCCAGAAGAGTCAACATACTGCATACTGGGTAATCCGTCCCAAGGCTGCTGTAAAGACAGGCGGATATTGTGTTGTCGTCCTGTAGCATCACCAGGTCTAGTGCTGGGCTATCAGAGCTTGTGTGCCGATAGCCCCTGGGCACGGAGCAGCGGTATGGAGAAGTACAAGGCGAAGGGGACTGCTTTAAATTTTCCCAGTGGCAGGGTAGTGTGCTGCTAACATACCGTGAGGTCTGAATGTGCAGCATCAGCAGGACTGTGGAGGACACTTAAGGATCAAAGCTCAGCAGAACGGCTTTGAATTCTGGAGGTGCATGAGCCAGAATTGAAAGTTTAAAGTCAGAGGAAGCTGTAATGACAGAATTTTTGCGAGTGACTGTGTGATTGTATTCATCAGTGTCTCCCTGTGAGGGATTTGATTTGAATACAGGAAAGGAACGTGGAATAAAAATGTGATGTGAGTGTCTAACAATAACTGGCAACTTCCTCAGTCTTCAAATGAAGTCCCACACATTCACATGAGTAAGGAGTGTCACACACTTTGTCATGTTTTGACAAACTGAGGAGGAGACTCAGTTGTCATTTCCATGTCAAACGCTCTTGTAATCATCTTTTTGGGTGCGTGTGTTTTCCTTCCTGCCTACCATGTGTCAAGAGGGATTGCTTTTGAGAAAATAGTATATAGCTTTTAATTAAAGCATCACTCTCTGGTTGTGCTTCTGTCTGCTGCAGGGTGTCACTGCTCGTTTTACATCCTACACAGCTAGAAAAGTCTGACAAATATACATTACTGGTGCCAACATTACAACAGTATTAAACATAATTTGATGGATAAATAATCAATAATACCATGTTAAAGTAGTGCAGGAACCCATACAAAAACGTTTTATATGGCCATATACGAACATTTATATTAAATACAGAGACATATAGGTTTACATATATGGCCATTTATCAGAATTATGTATGGGAACATGTAGAAAATAGTAATATTATGATTACATTTTATAAACCACAGTACAATAAAGAAAAATAGAAAACCACATATACACTCAGTTGCTGGTTTATTAGGTAGCTAGAACTAATGCAGTCTGATACCTTCACTCTTCAATTTTGGTTGAAATTGTTTCAGAGAGGCGTTGATTCCACTGGGGAATTTCACAGACTGTAATTTGTGGTGCTGTTAAATTGTGTTATATTGTTTGGAGTTCTAATATTTAGTCTACCCTATTTTCTATTAAATTTACTGTGCTACAATTTTAAAATCTAATTTGTTACTGTTGTGTGACACTGTCATAGAGACGTTGATTTAATTAAGCATAGCGTTAGTTCAGGCAGGCCACAAAGTCAGGCTCAGTTCCCAATTCCAGCTATATCATATGATCACAGCTAGTTGTAAACACAGCTGATGGCTCAGCTGATTCCTCCTAAGCTGGTCACTCAGACCATTTAAAGGCCTGCAGTTGTGGAAATAATCGCCTGTCTCTGATCAAAACACCAGACAGTCCCACAGTCATTAATTTCACTTCACTTACAGTAGATAAATGCATTTCAAAAAAGAAAATTTGACATCCCTCATTAAAAATTTATTAACTCAGACAACGAGCAGGAACAACATTGCTGATTCATTTCACCTCAGCCTGATGATGAGAGAGCCCTTTCGCCCTTGGGCCACGGGCAGCCTTTTTTTTACACAGTGTTGCACCATGCTCGCATTAAACACACTGGCTTTAATGTACCTTTGATGGCATCTATCATGAAAGACATTGACAGAAACTGCTGAAGTTAAAAAGTGACATTTCATGTTTTCCGAGCTCCACTTGTTCACAGAGAAGTAGTGCTGCATCAGACGGAGAGTGCCACTGTGATGCTTAGTGTCGTGATTTATCCTTTATGACACTGAGAGCTTCTGTGGCAGCTTGCCCAGCCCAAGCTTGTAGTCTCCTTGTCACTGCAAGTCTCGGTGTGATACTTTAGGTTGCCAGTCTTCCTGGGAAGAGTCCTCCTGCTTCTGCTTCCTTACACACACAAACACATTTTTCTTTTGATTCACCACCTTGGATCTGAGCTGTTGATGAAGGAACAAGCGCCATATGTACAGGGGCAATTTATCCCTCTCAACTTCCCTTTTCCTTCTTTCCTTCCCCCAGGTTTTATACTGTTTCTCCTTTGTTACGCAAACTGTGTCTGAATCCTCTCCTCGGACTTGCAGAATGATATAGCTCCATGTTTTTAGGCCTGAGACTTGAATTCCTGTGGGTACCATTATGGTCCAATTTCTCCTGGTCATTTTTTTTTGCTCTAGCAGTGGAAGCTGAGACCCACATCTCTCTCCCTCTTGTCCTCCTCCTCCTTCCTGCTGCCTCCTCCTCTTTCCTAGCCTCAGCCATGAACTCTGTAAACACTGAGGCTTTGTCTGCAGCTGTTGTGGTCAGTCTGTAGTGTAAAGCCAAGCCCTCACGGGGCATCAGTTTGTGTACGGCCTCGATTGAGTTAGAGGACTGCCACTCTGGTTGACCTGAGGAGACAAGAGGGCAGCAAAAAGGCAAAGCCATGGTGACTGCTGCTGTCTGCGGCTTGTATATCCTTCAAATACCCATAGGAGTATTTTACGGCAACCAGTGGTGGTGTGTCCTCATTTTACTGTGGTCTCAATGTCATGGTTGCCACATGTGAGCCTTGTACCTCCTACTGGATAGTAGCAGCACTTGTAAATGACTGAAATCAAGGGAAATTTAATCCCCAGTTACATGAGGGATGGGTTTAACCAACTGGGGCTGATATAAACAAAGCTTAAGATTAATCATATTTTAACTAAGGGCTGCAACTAATGTCAGTTACTTTCTTGATTGATTAACTGGTTGTTTGGGCCATAAAATGTCAGAAAATTGTGAAAATGTTCCACAAAGCCCAAGGTGCTCAAATGTCCTGTTTTGTCCACACCCCAATGTCATTCAGTTCACTGTTTAGGACTACAGAAAGTAGAAAACACTCACATTGGAGAAACTTTTACTTAAAAGAATGACCAATCAATTAATCAGTCCGATACAAACTTCTTTTTTAAACCACAACCATGTAAAGGTCAGTTATCTCATCGGTATCAGCCATGAGAAGCAGGTAATTATCGGTTATTGTATCGGCTGATAAAAATCCATATTGTGCATCCCTATCAAAAATGAAAGGCAACTGGTTCCAGTGAGAACCATATCGCTAGTAGTTTGACATATGGCTCATAGTTACGTGAGGGGGACTGCTGTAATCGATGAAACTGGTAGAAAACTACGATAAGTCAAATGTGCAGAAAAGATTTTGCATTAATTGTTGCCATTACAACTTCCAGGAGGGACAGATTAATCAATTATCAGAACAGTTGGCATTGATTAATCGTTGCAGCCCTTAATTACCACCATTACAGCAAAACAGAGTAGACAAAAAATTCTGTGTGGGCGAGACCGTGCACCAGTTTGTGTGTAAGGAAAACAGTAGGCTTTTCTTTTTCTTTTTTACCGTAGCAGAGAAATGTAAAGTTTGCATGCATCTCCTTACGTTGATGAGTAGTATTGCAAAAGAGGATGGAAGTTGTCAAACGTGGTCTGCAGGCACCGCCACGGCTGCTGCCACCGACTGTCTGCGGCGGATACACTAATCATGAATGACTGGGTGAACTGATGGGTGCTTTTGTGCGTATGAACTGAGGACTTGGCCGCCCAACATTTGGCCCTCAGTACAGCCTCTGTGTCATCATGACACCTGGTTTCCACTGTTGTTACAAAAAATGTGATGGTTTTGTCAGCAGCATTTATTGTTGCAGAAAAAGCTGTTTTCCTTTCTGGTTATTGACATATTTGGCAGTTCAAGTGTGACTTGTTTATTCGATCCAACAGTCATAACATGCAGCGTTCAGGGGCAGTGGTCGCTGATGATTACAACTGTTTCACATGGGCCATATTCAGTCAGGTGGTCTGATGAGCGGAGCATTTGTCATATTCCTGAATAATTATTTCACTACATTAAAGAGTGCAGTCTGTTGAATGATTTGTGTTCAATTCAGCCAATATTTGTGAGGATGTACGTTGAGTGTGAGTTTCTCAAACCTACAAACGGCCCCCCTGTGCACTGCTCCTGTCTGTTAATTTGACAAAATCTGCATCTCACTTGCTCAGTTGTGTCTATTAAAAACATGTGTGGACTTCGAGTTCTGATTATTTTGTCAAACATGTTTCACACCTGTCAATGTGCCAGTCTGAGCCGGTTGATGCATTTAATACTGTAGCTGAAGAGAGAGCAACAAACACACCAACAAACTGCCCTGATGGGATTGTGTCAGAGGGCCACAGCTCAGTGAAGCCTCACTCCTGTCTCGTATGTGTGACCTGTATACTGAATCTTTCTGTTTGGACAATGAACCAGAATGTGTGTGTTTAACATGGAACACTGCAGTTGCTTCTGTCCTCTAAATCACTAACAGCATCACTTAACTCTCTGTCACCTATTAGTATAAAGTCATTAAAGGTCCAGTGTGTAACATTTAGGAGGAATATAATATTGATAGCTATGTTTGTCCTCTAATCCTTTGGAAAGGGGAAGGTGATGGGAGGAATGTGCAACTTCACCACTAGATGCCACTAAGTCCTACACACTGGACCTATAAGTAGTAAGACAGCAAAGTAATCAGTGGATATTCACGGCGCTTTATTTCTCTTTATTTCAGATATAAAAAAACAAGCACTATAACCTGAAAGCCAGGTTCCACACAATCCAACAACGGTGTGAGTAGAAAAAAAATAGAAAATGAACAAAGTTAGAATGATTAAGGGAAAAAAAACACTCCAATCCCAGCATGCAAAAGGCAGGGAAACAGTCTATGTGGCTCCTTCCAAAAACAATCTCTCCCATTTCCTCAACCTCAGAGCTTCAGAGCAGAAGAAGAAGGGAGGAAGAAAGGAGCAGAGTAGAGAGGGAGAGGCGTCAGAGCAGCTGTGAAGCAGTTTGAAAGGAGCCGTTTTGGACAGAATGTGTCCGAGTGAAGCATCTGAAATGTGCCTGTTCTCTGCGTGGCTGGCAGACGCAGTTAGAGGTGCCAGCGCCTCCCCTGCCTCGCTGCCAGCACTTCTAAATCCCAGAGGTGTGACTGAACGTAGTGAATGCAGAAACAAGAAAAAAAACTGAGGAAAGAGGTGCATCAGGAAGATGCTCGGCTTCAGTATAAAAATGGGAATCATGTCCAAGAACAGAAAGAGGAGAGGCCTGTCCCTGTGCTCAGCTCCCATGGTCTCTTGGGTTTGACTAACGTCTGCTGACAGATGGACCGTCAGACAGTCTTCCTGGCAGTCAGGACTCTCACTATAGAGCCCACTCCTCCCACCGCCAGAGCCTGTGGACACACATTAAAGGCAGACATCAGATCTAGTGTCTGCATATTTCCTTACAGTAATGTTACTGAGAAACAAAGGAGAGGGTTAGAGTTTCTATCCAATCTGTGGAAGTGTTCAGATTTTCAACATTTTTCATCATTCAAGTTTGGACTGTGAACGAGTTCATTTTAATCTATAAAACGTAACTTGGAGCTAGCTCTTGTGAAGTGCGACAACACTGGCTGCAGCCACTGTCCAATCCATGCTGCTCAAGCACAATACGATGTATATGAAGTACACAATCGCACCTCCAATATGCAAGTATTCCCACCAAGACAGAGAGCAGAAGTGGTCTTTCAGGTATTTAGCATCCCTTACAAGAAGGGACATAAGAATTTGTCATTGGCAGCATTTCACAAAGTTGGTGCTTCCGATAACTCAACAATTCACAAAACTGGGATTTTTTTAAGGGAGTCTGGTACTTTCTCCTTGGGTGACAGGAGTCTATTGCAGTCACTGTACTCTTCTGACTGTGCCCCTGCTTCCTTTTTAGTGTCCTTATTACAGCCAATAACACATTATACAGTCTCTTATCAACAATGTCCACACATGTTTAGTAATTGTGTTTGCTGCTCTTATGTTGTGTTATCACACATATATTGCATATGTGCACCTTGAGAATATTGCCTAAAACCTCTGATGCCCTCCCCTGAGGGCATAAATGACCCTTCTTAAGTCCCGCCCCTTTTTGCTCTGTGCTCCAATAACAGTTGAGCGAACCTCGGTCAAAACCTCAGTCAACGTTCCCCTTTCTTGTACTTAGATATGCTATGTGCTAGGCTAATCTATGTTGGAAAGACAACCCCATTCTGAAGATAATTAAAAAATAAACGTGACATCTTAAGTTAGCTAATGGTAACAAAATGCTATCTAACTTAACTACGTAATTTACATCAATTGTTAATGTGCTAACATTTTTTTAAAGCCAACTTAAAGTCCCAAACCATATAGTTTTATTTCATAGTTCTGTGCTCAAGACAAAGAAAATCTTGCGTAGCGCCCCCTGCTAACGACGTACCTTTTCGTGCCACTGCAGCAGCACGGCACTGCTGTTGTCAGAGGGTTTCTCAAAGCCTCTGTAGATGTATTTCATCAGCAGGTCCACTCCAGCTTTATCCAGAGAGCCCACTGCCTTCTCTATATCACTGCTCTTAAAACTGCTCAGCACTCTGACCACCAGCAGCTCCGCCCTCTCCTGCGCGCGCGCACACACACACACACACACGTGATCTATACATCCAATTTGAACTAGAAAAGAATAGACTACAGTACAGTAGTAAATTAACAGGCATCCTAAAAGTGACTGGAGGATATAAAGAGCTGGAGAGGAACAAGAGGGTCACTAAACTTTGCAACAACCCAACAGACACATTATTAATGTGACAGCCATCTGCAACAGAACACCATCGCCTTCTGCACTCACACAGTGGCAGATACTCATACCTTGGCGTTCTGGTTCTTGGTGTTGATTGGAGGATTCTTCATCACGGCGTGGAGAGCTCCATTTATGTTCCCCGTGCAAAACAAGAGTCAAGGACTACACAGATACGTTTGGATTTTCAACCAAATAAACACAGATAAATGAGGAGTATTGACCGCTGTACACTGCCACCACAGAGTGAGCCTTCTCCTGAGAGCCAGCGCCGCTCCTGAGAGCCAGCGCCGCTCCTGGCCCTTAAACTGTCAATTATCTGCTCATATTTATGTCTGTGTGTTCTTAATCATTCATTTTAAAGGCCTGGAAGCAGCTCATGACTTTCAGTCTAACAAGGTATGGTAATGGGAGCAGTGAACAAATAGCAAATAAAACATGCATATTATTACATTACATTATTTACACACATAACACATGCAGAAAATGTTATATACTGTCACCCTGTTGCTGATATATTGTTCTCACTAATTCATTAGTTTTGATTCACTCTAATTTGCTGTATTTTCAAGCTGCTGTGGAGAAAGCTCAACACTGAGCATTTGAAAAGTGTCCTGAGATAACTTCTGTTATGAGTCTTTGCATGGATTGGAAAACATCAACATATACATTACTCAGCAACCATTGTATATCTGTATATCAGAAAATAAATGACTATTTATTTACTTGAATAGTTTTATAGTTAGATAGTAAAATAGGAGCAGTAAAATATGAATATCATTTTGTTGTCAGGGTACAACAAAATAAGAGTACAGGAGCACACAGGGTCCTAAATGATGGCCAGTGTTTAAGGGACATTAACCCGTTTGTGTGGCGCACTCACCACAGCTGGTTTTTCCACTGTCTGAATTAACTACAGTTTCATCTAACCGTTACATTATTTTGGCCACAGCACTTTAAAATAACTTTGCATTCAATAACCTGCCCAATTAGACAACACAAGTACTGTTTTGTTTTTACTATAGAATATTTCTTTTTCAATGAAAATTCCATTTTTGCAATATGTTCTTACTGTATCATGCCGTTCTAAATGGCAACACTTTTGAACAGCATTTGAAGAGTCCGAACTGTTGTTTGTTGTTGTTGTGTTAACCACAGTAATGTCAGTTAGATTTGGTTAGAGCAGAGCTGTGGAATATAGACCTGTGTGTAACATTTAGGAGGATCTACTGTCAGAAATGGATGTTCAAAGTAGAATAACCTGAAAAAAAGAAGCATTGTGTTTTTGTCCCCTTACAATGAGCTGTTTTTATCCACAGACAGAGTGGGATTTTGTTTTTGATTTACAGCCACTGTAGTTTCTCTTACACACTTGGAACAGGGCGATGTAATTGTCACTGCAACTAACACACTGGACCTGAACTCATCCATCTTGGCTCACTCCATCTTCCTTATGATCAGCTGTATATAAACTGTAGGTTATGAACTCACTTTTAAAATACCAAAATGTGAAATGATCAGTTCTATCAGTATCATGCATTATCAATTATCCAGGCATGTTGTGTTCCTGTGTTCTCCAGTGTAGTTCCAGTAGGTGGCTGGGATAAATAGTGACTTTGCTAAGTCCATATTTTAGGGAAGTTGCTCATTATAGTGACTTCCCATTGGCGGTAATCGGCTTCCGTAGTGTCCTCTGCAGGAATACTGACAGCTGCAAAAGTAAAGCGACCACACCCTCCTGTGGACTGACACCCGGAAGCTACTGACAGACATTACGGACATGTTCTGCCAACTGCACACATTACACCACATTAATGTCTCATATAACATGACGAACACTTCGCATGCATTCTGAATATATGAAGATACACTGTGGAGCTGTACGCTAGCTAACTTCAACCCATATCTGCACTTTGTTAGCCCTCAGCTACTGCTCAAGCTAGCAGAGCAGCGCTGTCCTGATGTTAGCTGGCTGTTACAGACTGTTTTACAGACTGTTACAGAGTGTTACAGCCTGTTAGAGTGTTACAGACTGTTACAGAGTGTTACAGACTGTTGTTACACTAGACTGTTGAACGCTATAGCTGACGTTACGATAGCCAGAGACACATAGCCGCACTATACTTCCGCCTCTATCCGCTCTTCTTTCATTTTCTTCTTATTATGGAGCGTTATCGGCGGCGGCTTTTCAAGAGCCACCTCAGTGCGACATGGGAGACAGGCAATAAGTTAGATATGGCCCTTAGGTTCTGTATGTGATGGCCTTTGTCATCCAAACTGCGTATGATCACACACTAACCCTTCTGGCCAACACGCAAGTGAATTCGGATATTGAAAATATCCATGTAAGGAAAATTTGTACATCTCAGTGCAGCGAAGTTTGAAAAAATACAATAAGCATGAAGTTTCCTCCTCACCCATACAAGGACCTTTATCTCCCAGATTCATACCCTCCTTTCACACACAACACACACCATAGGGTTCAGTGAATACAATGTGTTTCTGGCTAGCTTTCCTACCGTATCATTTTCCCAGGCAATATACCTGCTACTGTTAGACACTATTTCCTCCGAGTACACTGGAATCTGCAAGACATGGCTCACCAATTCCACAGCGCATTTACAAGACCATTTTACAGCATGCAATTCATTATGCCGTGTATTCCCATAGGAATACTGATATCATAACTTGTGCGATTACGTCTTGGGGGGGGGGTTTTTTTTTGTGTCCCTCTAATTATCGAGGTTCCCACGTACGGATAGTGTATATATTTGGTCACCCTGTTTTTTACACCCAGTGCCACATTTCTGTAGATACAATGTGTTTATTCAGTGCTGTGCAAGTCCCTCCCACAAGGGTGTTAAATGAGGGGTACTAATGAAATGATATTCATTCATATTTCATACAAACCACAAATGCGAAGCTCTCTTTAGGTATTGATCACATTCAGTATTATTTCAATTCTTCAATACCGCAAGATTTCATTATAAATCTAAGGCGATGAACAAATAGCGTTATAGCGATCTCTGTATATATACCAAAAGGTAGCATGTTGTACAACATTTTACGCAAAACATCCAACCCTGTCCCAAATACTACTTGTTTACCTGGTCAATGAATAGAACTAGTATCGCACAAGTTTCGAATCTCCACGTCTCTGTGGTCACCAATCATGATTGTTGACCACTTACAAGTTTCCTCGGCTCTGGACACCAACAGAACTGTTACGTGCTGGAGATACTTTGCTCTGAATGTGCCTGGTGATTCTTATTTATTTTAGATTCTGCCTCTTTTTAAGTCTATTGGAGCTAGAAAAAACAAACAATAAAAAAAAAAAAATCATTGCTGTGTCATATGGATTCAAACCATGAAGTCATGTTGAATTCCCATATCAGCTGAATATCAAGGAAGTTTGTTTTACCTTTGAAGTAAGAGGATAGGTGTTGAGAGAAGTTTTGCCCTGGAAGGTTAATGAGTTATTATTCTCCCAATATTTATTCCGTCATTCAGAGAAAGTTTCTTTATTAAGTATAAGAAAAACAATCTGCTTCTATTATTTTTACAAGAATTCTGAACCTTTGTCTGCCCACTGTTATGAAGGATAGTAAGGGGGCTGAGAGCCAGTCCTGAGAATGAAAAGTCTTCTGGAGGTACTCATAAATTCAGAAAAACAGGGCAAATAGTTTTTTTCTCAAGCATAATACCAATTTACTGTCTTTTATAGTTGTTTTTATTTTTATTTTTTTTTATGACCATGTTTATTGAGATTTTCTTTTTTTCCCCCCAACTTAATATATTATATTATCAATTGATTACAAATATTATTTGAATCTGCATTAAGCGAAATTTTTATGACACCCTAAGAGGGGAAGAAAAAACATAAGCAGAAGACACAAAAAACCTCCGCAACATCAAAAGGGAGCTTTACAAAGTGAAGCTCAAAATAAGAGGAAAACAACGGCAAGGAGTGGGAGCGTGTTGTCCTTGTTTGATTCACTGTACATGTATTTGCTGCTTTCTGGATCTGATTCATTCAGTACCCTGTTGTTGTTTTTAAATCATGGGGTTGTAATCAATTGTAATAGTTTTTTTGTTGGGGGGAAAAAAAGAAAATTCGTCAATTAAACATTGTTTAAAAAAAAAAAAAAAAAAATATTTAAAAAAAAGGAAATACCAAGCTATAAAGCATATTTGTAGGGTTTGCTTGAGAAAATAGTGTTGCCCTTTTTTCTGAATTTAATGAGGTTACCTCAGAAGCATCTTTTCATTCTCAAGGACGTGGCTCCAGCCCCCTTACTATCCCATAACAGTTGGGCAGACCCAAAGGTCAGTATATTCTGTAATAAATATATTAGAGCCAGATTGTTTTTTCTTTTTATTACTGTAATAAAACTTTTCGTCTGAATTGGATATGGATTGAGATAAATGTAGTCTCCATTAATTCAGGCAAACCTTTTCCTCACAACACCCCTCATCCTTTACTTATAAGGTAAAACAAATTCCCTTTGATATCACTGATTGGGGAATTCAACATGCTTCATGGTTTGAATTCATATACATCAGCAATGGATGGGTTTTTTTTTTTTTTGTTTTTTTTGCTCCACTAGACTAAATAAACACGAACTAAATATAATAAATCACCAACACATTCAGAAGCAAATATTTCCAACGGTCACAGTGCTGTTTTAGTTCCAGCGAGGAAGGATCTGTAAGTGTCACAATCAATATTTTACCCAACAGAGACAGTGGAGATAAACTTGTGCCATACTAGTTTATTCTTGAACCAGTAAATAGTAGTTTTGGGTATGGTTTTGCCTAAAATTGGTACAACATCCTGAACAATTTTGGGTTTATACTACCCAAGAATTCTACTAACGTATTTCCACCTTAATTTTATAATTGGAAATCTGTATGTGGGACACAGATAATTTGCATAATATGATTGGGATCAATCACCATTGAAGATGGCTCCATTTTGTTTTTGTTATTACAATACTGATGTAATACTCATTCATAGTACCTATTTACACTATGAGGGACCTTCACAGGATAGAACTTAACAATATTTACATGAAATGTGGCCTGGGTGTAAAACAGTGACCTTAATATTACATATCCTATTGGGAATTAATTTAGGTGACCGA